CATCATGTTTGCTCAACTTCTCCTTTTGACACATTGGAGTAGGCATGCTCTTGCAATCCTCCATTCTGAATTTTTTTAAGATCTTCTTTGCATACTTCTTCTGCCAAACAAAGACTTCACCTCTTTTCTGCTGAATCTCCATTCCAAGAAAATAAGCCATCTCTCCCAAATCTGTCATTTCAAAGGTCTGTTTCATGTCTTCCTTGAACTTGTTAACAAGCTCAACATTACTTCCTGTCACCAGCAAGTCATCAACGTATAATGAGACAATAACAAAATTCACTTCGTCACCTTTAATGTAGAGTGTAGCTTCACCGAGTCTTTTTTTGAAACCCAGTTGCATCAAATGCTCATCAATTCTGCTGTACCAGGCTCTAGGTGCCTGCTTCAGGCCATACAATGCTTTCTTGAGCAAATACACATCATTTTCATGCCCTTTGACTGTAAATCCATCAGGCTGCTCAACGTATATCTCCTCCTCAAGAAAACCATTTAAGAATGCAGACTTTACATCTAACTGGTAAACTTTCCAGTCTTTTTGTGTAGCAATAGCAAGTAATAAACTGATTGTATCAAGTCGAGCAACAGGAGCAAATGTATCAGAAAAATCAACACCAAAAATTTGAGCATACCCTTTCACAACAAGCCTGGCTTTGTACTTGTTAATTGAGCCATCTGCATTCAATTTTGTTCTGAACACCCATTTTACTCCTATCACTTTCCTATCTGCAAACCTCTTCACAAGTTGTCATTTCTGATTTTTCTCAATCATGCCCAGCTCCTCCTTCATTGCAGCTATCCATTTTGGATCCTTCTCTGCTTCCCAGAAGTCCGCTGGTTCAAGAACAGCAACATTACACCTTTGATAAATATCAGAAAGTGATCTCATACCTCTTACAGGAACTTCATCCACCAATTCATCTTCTTTCAAATGGAATTTTGAAGTCTGGTTTGAAACTGAAGTTGATTGCTTTCCTTTCCAATTTCATTCTTCATTTTCCATAAAATGCACATCTCTACTTATAAGAATTTTCCTTGTGTGAGGTTGGAAAATTCATTCTTCATTTTCCATAAAATGCACATCTCTACTTATAAGAATTTTCCTTGTGTGAGGTTGGAAAATTCTATAAGCTTTAGAGACGGTATTGTAACCCTCTACTTATAAGAATTTTCCTTGTGTGAGGTTGGAAAATTCTATAAGCTTTAGAGACGGTATTGTAACCTACAAAAATCACTGCCTCTGTCTTTTTGTCAAGCTTATCTCTCTTGATCTGTGGCACATAAGTAAAGCACAAACATCCAAAAAATTTTAGATTTTTCAAATTAGGTTTGAACCCATACCATGCCTCAAAAGGAGTCTTCCCATTAACGACTTTAGTAGGAAGTCTGTTCAACAAGAACACTGTCGTGTTTGTTGCTTCTGCCCAGTACTCCTTAGGCAAATTTTTATCATGCATCATGCATCTTGCCATCTCAAAGATTGTTGTGTTCTTTCTTTCACTGACTCCATTTTGTTGTGAAGTGTATGGGGCTGTTAACTGATGCTCAATGCCAGCTTCCTCACAAAACTGATTGAATTGATCTGAAGTAGTGTATGGGGCTGTTAACTGATGCTCAATGCCAGCTTCCTCACAAAACTGATTGAATTGATCTGAAGTATACTCTTTGCCATTATCTGACCTCAACATTTGAATGGTACAACCACTTTGATTCTCGATCCACTACTTAAATCTCCAAAAAATGCCCGCAACTTCTGATTTAAATCTGAGAAAATAAATCCAGCTCATACGAGTGAAGTCATCAATAAAGATTATGTAATATTTACTCCCCTTAAGTGAAGGAGTTCTCTGAGGTCCAGCAAGATCAGTGTGGATGAGTTGCAGCTTCTCAGTTGATCTCCAGACAGATTTCTGGAATGGAAGTCTTGCTTGTTTGCCATATCGACAGGCCTTGCAACCTGGTAGTTCTAACTCCAGCTGAGGCAGGCCTTCAACAAGCTCTTTTCTTTGCAAGTTCAGTACTGCAGCATGGTGAAAATGGTCGAGTCTTTTGTGCCAAGTTTCTGTGATGCTAGCGACTGAGGAGTAAGCCGCTTGCTCCTCCTGCAATGGATCTAGTGCAAAGCTCTTCCCCTTCATCTTCACTTTGAATACATCTTTGCCTTCTGAATCATTGATTTGACACTGATTTGTTTCAAAGATAACTTTGAAACCCTTCTCAAGCAATTGGCCAACACTCAATAGATTTTGGCTAATGTTAGGTACAAATAAAACATCTCTGATAAGTTTTGTACCTGAAGCACTTTCAATTGCCACAGTGCCTTTTCCCTTAACTGCAATATATTCTCCATTGCCTATTCTCACTTTGGATACCACAGAAGTGTCTAGCTCCTTAAATAGATCACAGTCAAATGTCATGCGGTTTGTGCAACCACTGTCAACAAGCCACTTGTCACTCGAGTTGCTAGTAGCAAAACAAGATGCTACAAAGAGTTGCTCCTCTTCTTGATCAGCTACTTGAGCACCATTCTTCTGCTTCAAATTCGCTTGTGTCGCATTCTTCTGTTGAATGTTGCTCTTGCAAATTCAGTGATGATGTTCCATCTTCTGGCACTTCTCACATTGCTGGTCTGGCTTTCTCCAGCATTTGAAAGGTGGATGACCCTTCCTTTCTGGCACTTCTCACATTGCTGGTCTGGCTTTCTCCAGCATTTGAAAGGTGGATGACCCTTCCTTCCACAGTGTTTACAAGGAGGAAAATCGGTCTGGCTTTCTCCAGCATTTGAAAGGTGGATGACCCTTCCTTCCACAGTGTTTACAAGGAGGAAAATCGGATTTTGTTCCCTTACTGGTATTAGGAGAATTAGAACATGAGCTTCCCTTCTTGTACTTCTCATTCTTCTTCCCTTTTCCTCCTTGATTGAACTGAGCTCTTGCAGCTAATGCACCTTCAACAAACCCTTCAGACCTCAAAAGTCTTCTCTGTTCTTGTGCCTGCAAAGCATTCAACAATTCTGCCAAGCTAACCCTTGACAAATCCTTAGTGTTCTCCAACGCAGAGATGGTTGCTTCGAACCTTTCAGGAACTGTTACAAGAATCTTTTGAACAATTCTAGAATCAGGAAATTCAGAGCCAGGTAACCTTACTTTGTTGGCGATGCTGAGTAATTTGTCAGAATACTCTTTGACAGTCTCTGAATCCTTCATCTTCTGAAGTTCAAATTCTCTGATCAAATTGAGAATCTGCATTCCTTTAATCCTCTCATCTCCTTCGTATTCTTTCTTCAGGAACTTCCAGACATCAAAAGCTGACTTCATAGTCATAATCCTGACAAAGATTTCAGGTGAGACAGCAGCAAATAACGTAGCTCTCGCCTTTGACTTCCTTGATTTCTTCTCCTTTTGATTCTTAATCTGCGCCATGGTTGGATTCACAAGCAATGGAGGAACTTCGTAGTCCTCCTCGACAGCTTCCCAGAGATCATTTGCCTCCAGATGAGCCTCCATTCTTGCTGCCCACACATGATAGCCTTCTCCATTGAAGACAGGTGGTGCTAGTGCAGTGAAAGGAGTTTCAATTGAATCCATGTAATGTGTTTCTCTCAGTTATAGGTTCCTCAAGAAGAGAGCTCTGATACAACTTTGTTGGAGTTTTATGCTGTAAAACTAACTTTGAGAAAGAAATAAAGGCAAGAACAACAAGGGATATTGCTGTAAAATGTCCACACACTTCTATTGAACAGAAATAATACTTAAATACAGAAAATTTTATCTAGTGAATCCTAAAAACAAGCAACTACGTGGAATCATGTTCCACTATCAACAACAACTAAAATCCAGCCACTAACATCACTAACTGGTAGTGTTTTTTAACTGGAAAACAGAAAATGGCTAAAAATAAGGAAAATAACAGCAGCAAAAATTGACTGAGTCTTTGTTGCAGTAAGGGGGTGTTTGTTTACCCGAAAGTAGGAAGTGAAAGTGTGAAAGTGACTTACTTTTATCACTTTTGATGTTTGTTTTATTGGAAGTGTATGTGAAAGTGAAATACCAAACTCTTGCCACCTAAGCTATAATACAATTTCAACTTACCCTAAAAAAGTGCGGATGTCACATGTAAGTGGAAAAAATGAGGACCACTCTTAATAAAAAAATATTTTCTTAATTAAAATTTCACTTTCTTAGGTTCGTTAACCAGTTTTTTATGCATGGCGGTTCACAACATCTAAAGTTTGGGAATATCATTTTTTCTTGAGTTATCTATATTAGCCCCTTAATCTTTGCTATTTTATCTAGTCTCTCAAATTATTGAAATTGCTATCAAGTGCATCAATACTTATGAGTTGTTGCACAATTAATCCCTTGATTCCTGAAATTACTATTACATTCTTCAATTTTTGTAAGTTCTTTCAGATTAATCCCTTTAGTCAAAGTCAATAGCTAATAGCAAGATATAAGAATCGAGGGACACATTTGCAATTTCAGTGAATTGAGAGACTAGTTCCCGAGCATTAAGGATGTAAATGACTATGATAAAAAAATCCTTATTTTTTAATTTAAGTATACAATCTGTAGCTGTTGATTAAATCTGATAAGGGGTCTTTACATGATTTTTTTTTCAAGTTGTTATGCTATGAATTAAATTTCCTATTTTTGTGTTTAATCGTGCTACTTATGTATTTTTAAATGCTGACTACTTTTTGCAATTACCAAAACCATTTAGAATATGATATGGTTTTTAATAAATAAATAAATATATGAAATGCCACATCATCTTCACTATCTTCACTTTTCTACTTTCTAACGATAACTTACTTGTGTAAACAAACACTGTGTTTCACTTACATGATGACATGGATGCATTTTCTCACTTACGAAAAAAATGACTTTCACACTTTTAATTCACATTCAATTTGCCAAACACCCCCTAACTGAAAGCAATCCATCAACACAAACTGACGAAAGCCACCGGGAAAAAAAAGCTAAGACTAGAATCCGAACCAGAAAGTCGAGCAGAGACGCGACGGCGATGGTACGGTACCGACCAAGATATGAATCAGCGACGAAAGCTCCGAGCAGCGGCGTCATCAAAGCCATGCCGGACCACGCATTGACCCCCGCTGCTGCCGACGCGGTTGACTCCCCGAGGTCGCCGGTGAGGTACGTTATCAGGTTCAACGATACACCGTTGTACGCTGATCTCTCCGCCAACTCCACCACTAGCTTGTAGTTAGAGAGAGAGAGAAGATTGAGGCTGCTGTTGGTGGAAAATCTAGAATTTAGTTGATGGTAAAAAATTGAGATGGGTTACCGATGATGAATAAGGCGGAGGTCCAGCCGCCGGTGGAGGATCTTGAGATCGGACGGCCGAGGTGGTCCACGGCGGCGGTTGGCCGGTGGAGCAGTGGATTTTGGTCTATTTGGGTCCGGTTTGCCTTCCCTCTTCTCTCCTCTTCAGAGGGGAGTCATGAGTCAAGGCTAAAACTACAGATATTTGAAGAACTGCACTTACATGCCTATAGTTTCAACAATATGGGACTTTTAAGGCCTCCCAAATTAAAATCCAAAGTACTTCAGTTTGCACATAAATACCTGAAGTTAAAAAATTCGGGCAGCATTAACTTTTCTCTATGTACAACAATATCACAAAACACATGGTATTAAAGTGTGACTTTTAGAGATTTTAAGGTGAGTGGCACTAGAGGCACACCATTGGACACAATCCCAACCACACCCCCTCACCTGCTACAGTGCAGGGGGCCCCACATGGGATTTTTAAAAAAATCCCATGTGAGCCCCCCTGCACTGTAGCAGATGAGGGGGTGTGGTTGGGATTATGTCCAAGGGTGTGCCTCTAGTGTTTCTTTTTTAAGGTAGCTCAAAAAAGCCATTTAAAAACTATGGGTATTTGTATGAAACATTGAGTAATCCATCTATTAATATAGTTTACTCTTTTCCTAATAGGGATGTTGCCTATATTAAAATAAAGTCCTCCCATGTGAACAATACTATGTATAACAGCTTCTTCATACGTATGCTTATATTTTGTCTGCATATAGGGGATGTTTGTTTGCATGCAAATGAAAGATAAAAGTAAGAAAGTTAATTTTATTTAACAATTAAGGTGTTTGTTTTCATGTAAGTGGTTATGAAAGTGAGATGCAAGAAAGTTGTCACATATGATTTAATGTAATTTTGATTTCTCCTAAAAAAGTGGTGAAGTCACATGAAAGTGACAAAAAAGTAACTAATTTAATTAAATGATTTTAATTATAATTTCTAATTAATCTTATTTTGCCACGTCATCTTCACATTGCACTTTCGATAATAATTTAAATTTTTAAACAAACACTGTATTTCACTTGCATGCTGACATGGATGCAAAAGTCATTTGTAAAAAAAAAGTGACTTACATATTTTAAATTCACTTTCAGATTGCCAAACAACCCCATAGGTGGGTAAATCACCACGCTTTCATGAGGAGGATGGTGCAGCTAAGGCAGGTCTTGTCATCTCAGGAATAAAGGATGGGGTAAAATTTAAGCAAATCAAATATTAGGATTATTAGGTGGGATGAAGGAGATCGATTAGGGTTAGGTGATAAAATCGTGACCGATGATTCTCCCTATTGCACTATATTAATGACTAAGGAGTCATCATATTCTCTAATTTCAAACGAAAACTCATATTCATCTGAATAGTAATCTAAAAACATTATTATTATTATTATTAAGAAGAAGTTGATTTGCTTGCTCTAAAGCTGTAAATTCTGTTTGTGGGTTTTGTGCTTGTTGTGTTAAAGTTTGTATTTGTTATCTTAACTATATTCTATTTGAAGGATTATAGGTTTCAGGTTGAAGGATATCTATAAGACCCTTTGTTTTCATCATCATATTTAGATGATTGGACTAGTGCCACGTACGAGCAGAAACTTCAGTGGTTTGGTTTTGAATTTTTGTTTTCCCTTGAATAACACTTTATTTCTTCAATTTGTTTTTGAGGATTTAAAATGTTCATGTAGATATCCTATATTGGATATATGATGTCTCTTACCGAATTTAGAATCGATGCTAGGTCTTGCTTAGATGGTGACTCTATAGAGTCTTTAGAAAGGTGAAGTGCTTGTAACTTTTAGGTTCAACACTAATCTTACGTATTTCTTGTATAAGTCTAGACATGGTTATATGATATATCCTCCTTTCTCTGTATCTTTTTTAATGGTAGAACATACTAAAACTTTTATATTTCATTTGTCAATCAAGGGTTTGACCTTTTTTTGGGTGGGGGTGGGGGGGGGTGGGTGGGTTAATCCCACACTACTAGAGCGCAGCTTCTATTCAAACTTAGGAATTGAAACCAATAACTAATAAGAGTTATCGTCATCTTAGCATGGTGCTTTAGAAAGAGAGAGTACGACCTAGTTTCATTTTTTACGTCTATGCATAACTTGATTAATAATCAAATATAAAGTGTAGAAGTAAGAAATAAATTACATAATGAAGACAGAGATTGGAGAAAGAAAGGAAATTACTCCATAACCAAAATAAATTACAAAGATTTAATTACAATACAAGACACCAAATCAGATGTGGCTCTAGTACTAAATTGTAAAGCTCCGTAAATTTAAAAAATTTATGGAAATTAATAATAAATGAGTTTTATTATGGTTGGTGATCATTCTGGGATGAATGGATCTGTGTGTAATCGATTTGAGGTCGATTATGTGTGCGTGTGTGTGTGTGTGTGTGTGTGTGTGTGTGTGTGTGTGTGTGTCCGACATTCTCCTCTTTTCTTCTTCATCCCTCATGTTCTGACCAGCAACCACACCCCTCAAAACTCTAGAAAATTTTATCTTGCATTGGGAGAAGATTCGTAAAGCAAGGTTTGAGAGGAGAGCGAGATATACGGCTTTTGTGAAGAAGGGTCGAGCTTTTCTTGCACGTGTGATAGATCAAAGTTTTCAAAAGGCGAGTTTCATCTTCTCCAAACGCATCACCGTTTTTCTTGGTTTTTATTGGATTTTTAAAACCTATTATATGTGTAGAGATCACCCCGTAAACTTTATGACGTAAAAGTTTAATTTTTTCTGATTTAAAAGTTATGAAACGAATTCCTTAATTAGGATTGAAGATTTGAAGTAAATCTAACATGAGATATTTGCTAATTTAATTATTTTCATGATGAATTTACAAATATAATCATGTTAGGGTTATTAGATCCCCTCAAATTTATATTTGTGGTTTCATGTATCAGAATAAACCCTAATTACAGTAAATCAAGTTTTTATATATGAGTTTCTTTGAAAAATTTCAATTTTGGTGAATTTTAGAGAAAATCTAACGTCTTTGATCTGTCACCTGGTCGGTCGGTCGATCGGAAGCATCGGCCGACCGGAAACTAATTTTTCTCAGGAGCTCAAAAATTCTCTCTGGTCAGTCGATTGATCAAAATAATCAATCGACCGATTGGTCAGTAAAAATTTGGGGATTTTTTGTGGTTGGTCGACCGACCCATGTATCGGCCGACCGATAAAGGCTAGATGTTTTTTCATGTTTCGTGCATGTTGTCGCTCAGTCGACCGATGAAAAAAATCATTCGACCGACCTAGTGCTGTTTTGAAAAGGTTGATTTTCCACGTGCGTTTGTCTGTGATCATGAGAGTACTTGTATTAGGTTTGAGCATGCGCGCGAGTTTTTGGTAGTTATGGATGCTTGAGTGCGTTAGTCCATGCACCGCAATGAGAACGCGGGCGACGACACTCTGAGTGTGTTAGTCCGTGCACCACCATGAGAATGCGGGTGACTACACTCTGTGATGCATTATTGTTTTTGTGTTTGAGTGTGCATGTCTGTGTACCATATGATATAACGAGCGACTGTACTCCGAGTGTGCTAGTCTGTAAGCCGCATGATACTGCGGACGAGTACACTCTACATATTTAGGAAGCCTAGAACTCAGATGAGTACTATTTGTGAGCGTAATCCAACATTTTACTTTCTTATGTAGCGGTGTATACTTTGACGAGGGTTTCACAAGATTGTACTTTTGTTTCCCTACCACCTACTCAAGGGTAGCGTGAGACACTACGATACGATATATACGAATTGTTTTTGGATAAGATGTTGATGGTGTATTTTTCTTTGTTAATTAATTATTTATAGGATTTGGAGTTGTTATTTAGCGATCCACAATTTGAGATACATGGTATATATATGAGAGTTTCCTTTTTTGGATTATTTCGTTCGATGTACTCATCTCATGTTGTGGATTTCTAAATCTTAACTCTTTTTAGTTCAGGATATATGATTTATATATTTATATATGTTATGATTAGTATTTTTATATACACCTAACCCCTTCCCCTTGGGAGGGATGTAGATGTTCTCGCTAGCGCTTTGATGCTCGTTGATTCCATCTTTTTCAGGCAGCAAGTCAGGGGTTCTGAGAGTCGCAGGTTGACGGAGACTGAGTATAGATTTTTGTCTTTTATAGGTAGCTAGTTGGTACTCCACAGTAGACTTTTTTATGATTTTAGTTTTTCTTTTAGAAATGTATTTCATTTGGAGGTTGAGTGCCTTTGTACTATTCTATTGACTCTTTTTGTTTTAGAGACTCCTTACTCTTATTTTAGTTTATCAGATGTACTATCTTTTCTCTTGTTGGAACATGTTGATACCGTTGGATGTCTTTTATCTACATTGTATTTCGTATATTTTCATCTTTGTTGTATCTGCTTGTACCCTCTCTAGTTTATACTTTGTCTTTTCTAGAGTGATAGTAATTGTGATAGCGAAACGTGTTTATGCACGATAGAGTGTGCATGGCATGTTTGACATATTTGTGTTCATCTTGGACTACAGCCATGTATGGAACCAGGGGCGTCATAGTTGGTATCAGAGCTCTAGTTCCAGCATTCTTAGGATATTCTGTGTCAAGTCGTGGAGCTAGTATAGAGTTTTCTTAGGGTTCATGTATAGAGTTTGTTAGGAATTCCTAGATTGAGTGAGGTCGTTATGCGTATAACTCAATAAATTTTGAGAATTTTTTTCTTATGATTATCTTATTTTGCTTATAAAGTATTTTCAAGGATACTATGGGTTATGTTTTCCAATTTCTATATGCTACATTATGTGTGCTTGTGGTCTCATCTATTGTGTCTAATAGCTCTCTTCTTGAACTTATAGATGTCGAGACGAGGACGTGGTTGTAGTAAATCCCGTACTTAGGGAGTTGGGCAAGCTGAGCTAGAGCCCGAGCTACAGCAGACTCCATAGTATTTGATTGATCTCATAGCGCCGATTACAGCCAGACTGACAACACTTGAGGAGCAAGTAGCTAATCAGGTTCCGTTAGCAACACCACCTCCTGTGGTTCCACCACCAATTGTACTAGCTGTGCTTATTACAAAGGCATCACCAGCAGTCACACCACCACCAACTGTTGATAGAGCCGCAGAGCAAAAGGTTTGGCTCCGTTTGGTGGAGAGATATCAGAAGCTGAGGGCACCAGAATTTTAGGGTACATTAGATTCCCTTGCAGCTCATAAGTGGAAGGAAGATGTAGGGAACATCCTAGATTTACTTAATGTCAGTTCAGTCCAGAAGCAAAGATTAGCAGTATTTAGCCTCAAGGGCGATGCTAGAGGGTGGTATAGACTCCAATTCACACCAGAACAATGAATGACACTTACTTGGGAGGATTTCACCTACTTCTTTGACGAACAGTATGTATCTTCCACGGCAAAGGCTAGGAAAGAGTTAGAGCTATTCTGACTGGAGCAGGGAAACATTGTAGGCATCGAAAATTGCCTATAGGTCTCCACGAACGGTTCAGTGTTAAAGAGCAACGATGAGCGTCACTATCCGATCCACAGGAGTCCAATTGACGTCGATGAACGATTGAAGTGAATCAACGAACTACGTGAGCTGATAGGATTTCGGAACAACGAAGACCCGGGCCAATCGGGAACCCGGCGATGTTCACAAAAAGGACAACGCCCTTCGAGTCTCGTTCACTCTACAGATAATCCAACCACCAGAGCGGATCGAACTCTTCGTCAAGCTTCCAACGCACTTGGAATCACTCAAATCCGAGTTCGGACGAAGAACTTACGGGGAAAACAATCAAACATACGCAACGGAGCGTCTCAGGCTGAGTTGGGACACCCGGGGTGTCTCGGGAAAGTCGAAACACCCCAGGGGTGTCTAGGAAAAGCCTAGACACCCCAGGGGTGTCTCGGCCCCCCCGGTGCTCCCATTGCCTATAAATAGCCACCCAAGGCCTCATTTTGGGAGATCTGGATTTTTTGGAGAGTTGGCGAAGCCCTGCTGCAGTGAAGAGTGGTCAAGCGCTTCAACAGAGGAGAGGTCTTCATCAGATTCTTCATCACCCGTGTCCGTTCCTTAGTATTACCCTTCACCGGTAATCCTAAGAAGAGCAAGATATCTCGTT